TCCATCAAAGCTAAGCCTCTTTTAAATGTATAAGGTTCTTTAAAGACGTCTTTAACTAAATATGTACATAAAGTTTGCACAGTTATTCTACCAGATAATGTGGTACAGTTATTCTACCAGATAATGTGGTCCATCGAGGACATGTCTTTTCTTTTAATGAAGCCAGAAATTACCTGTCTGCTTTTAAAGTGGTTTTAGGATCCTCCTGAATATCGTGCAAAAGAAGTATCAATGATCGCATTCCAAGCTGCAGGTCTGTTGCATGAAGGAAATCAGAAAAATTGAAAAAAAAAAACGTTTTATCCGCATTACATTACATGGCCCATGTCATATGTAATGATGCCAAATAGAGGAGGTGTTGATGTCTCATCCAAGCACAGGTAGTGCAATCATCGAAGCACAAGAATCTATTTTCCCATGTCAAACTTCTATTTGGACTTGGTAGTCCTGGTCCCAAATTCACTGAATATGATCAAGACTTAAATGCATTTAACCGTCCCCTCCACAATTTTTCATTTGCACATTCTAGCTGAAACACTCTCCATGCTGAAAAAAAAAAACGCTTTACCACCATTGTCTCTAAAATACAGTCCATTTCCTCCGACAGAAAATATCCAATTGATCTGATTATTTCCACAAATGATTTAGGTTTATCCAATGTTAGTCGAACTGGTATAAGAAAAGGGTACTGTAAAATTAATTTTGTTAATTGATCTTCATTAGACAGATGCCAGAGATATAACAGATAAGTAATTTCCCTCACATACCGTACATTTTCTACTCGAGATTTTACTGTTCCTACCTGTTCCAGCCTGTATCTTACACTGGACCATGATGTGGATGGCATAGTTCTTGGCTTGTCCTCCCTCATAGCTATGCAGTTTCAAGTCCGATAGTTGAATGTTCTTCCTTAAAGTTTATGGCCACTGAAGCCAGTGATTTCCATTGTGAAGAAGCATCTAGATCTGGATAGGTTTTTTGTGGTCTCAACAGGGAGTTCACCGACTTAATGGAAAGAGGTATTCTTTCCAGGTGCCTGTTCATTAGACAGTCCGCCTATTTACCGCCATTTTACAGTCTAATTTGGATAGCAGACATGGATGTGAAGCAACTTCTAAGACAGATACTGTTGGAAGATTTATCTGTGCGCTTATTGCAACTCTGTGGAGATACACATCACATTAAGCCACAGACTAATCTACACACTGTGTCAGGAGCCATTGTCAATTGTGGAATGTTCCACTAGTCCACCATGGAGCGCTAGCCACAGACTAACCTACACACTGTGTCAGGAGCCATTGTCAATTGTGGAATGTTCCACCATGGAGCGCTAGCCACAGACTAACCTACACACTGTGTCAGGAGCCATTGTCAATTGTGGAATGTTCCACTAGTCCACCATGGAGCGCTTCAACAGGGAGACCGATAAGTATATGTCTGACTGCAGATATAACATCAACATCCTGCGCAGACTGAGCTGTTGACTAGAATATGTGTTCGCTCCTAGTAACTTATTGTCGGAGATTGATTCAATTTCCATTATCCGATCCTCAGAGTTACAGAAATTGTTACAAGAACATTATCTACTTGTACCCTTTGACATGAAGAATGATGCTCTTTGTGTTGCCCTGAGGAAAGAAGGTAACTTCTTGATAAAGGATCTATCAGAAGGAGTTGAGCCTTACCTTTAAGGCTTACCAATGCGAATTTGCAATAGAGAAATTCTGTGAGGTCACTCATTCTCAGTCTTGACAACTTCCATAAATTTGGGACCACACACAGAGAGAGAGAGAGAGAGGGAGAGTCACGTGACTGAGCTAGAATAAGGTCGTGTTTCGACTTTACTCCTTCTTTTTGACAATGTTTGGCCTTTCTGAAGGCCCTGTCTGTCGCTTAATACAGTGAGTTACAGACACAAATTGTTTACCTGGCAGTATATACATGTTTTTGTGCATTTTAATTCTTTGGATTTATGTTAAGTTAGCATTTAGTGTATTTACTACACGTTGTGTTGTACCTGTATTGTTTTACCTGTGTTTTGCGTCCTGTAGACTCCTGAACGTTTATATTATCGTGTAAATTATTTCAACATGAAAGGTGTAACAAACCAGTGTTTAATAAAAGATACACAAACAAAAATAAATTCCAAAATTACAGAATATGTTTCATTGCAAGCTGTGCAGGCTTTTGTCGGTTGAAATATTTATGTTTGTCCAGCTGGACCGGAGCCTATGGCATGTATACCCGTGCGACGAATCAAGCAGACAACAGCTAGGTATTACAAGGCATTGCTCTGAACAATCAGAAATTCAACGTCTATGGAATAAAACGTTAAGTTAGCTAAAAGAAATGCCGTACCTGCTGGGGTGATCAGCACTTCACATACAAGTGCAAAAAAAGGGTTCCAAATGCAAGGTTTATCCACAAGCTGGGAATGAAGATTGTCCCAAATACATGTATCCTAAACAACATCCTCATTCAGTTTCAATATTTTGTAGAAATGATAACGTTTTGTCAAACTTCTTCTCCGTTCTTTTAAAGTGTTTGGAGAAAATTTTCAGTCGACAGAACATGCATTCCAATGTGCTAAAGCGATACAATCTGGTGATTAGCTGGCAGCCGATAAAATAAGAGAATCTGAAACAAGGTTGGACGCTAAACATATTGGAAACCTTATTACTCTAATAGACGCCTGGGCCTCAGACAAAGAAAAGACACAGGAAGAAATTATATGTTGTAAAGAGGGTCAGGTGGAGGAATTCAGAAGCGTCCTTGAATCATCTAAAATTCTACGACCTTGTAGAAGCTACATACGACGACTTTTAGGGAACTGGCTTGAATCTCTCTCAAACTATGCACACCAAAGCCAATGCGTAGCCCGGCAAAAATACACTAAGATCATGGCTGGCTATAGGAATACACATAAAAACAAACAGCGGTCTGGTTCAACGCCTGCATCTACCTCCAACATGCGTCAAAACGACACTGATGCGTTGTTAGATGCAGCTAAAGAATAAGGCATTAACCCAGTAACTGGTGGTAAATTCGTTAAAGATCTCTTCGACCTCGAAGGGAAATTCTATTATAATGTTTGTTTGTTTATTGTTTAACGTCCCTCTCGAGAATTTTTAATTCATGTGGAGACGCCACCACTCGCCGGTGGAGAGCTGAAAATTTTGACTTAAACTCGGCATTCAGGACCATTGAGCAGTGAGGGATCTTTTTCGTGCCAGCACTTACTGCGACACGGGACCTCAGTTTATCCGGTCTCATCCAAAGGACAGGTGTCTACGCCCCACAGTGGGATTCGAACCCGCGACGTAAGGATCAACTCCTTACCCCGAGACTCTAGAGCAAACGCTCTAACCACTGCGCCACGCGGGCGGCTCTATGATCATTTCCTTAGTGTACTAAATACAAGTCCAATTATATCTGTGAAAACTATTTGCTGAAAAGAACATTTAAACCTTTAGAAAAGATCGTAGATACCAGTAAAAGCTCATATATTAACATAACAAATATTAAATGTCTACTTTATGCGACACAAAGAAAAAACCATCTCTTGATAAGCTAAAGTGTAAAACGTTATATAACGCTTTCATTACTCAAAATTTTATTTAATTGCACTCTGAAAATACATGGACTAAACTTTTGAATGTTAATTTTGAAAAACACAGTGCAAATTTATGCATCAAAAATTACAAAAGTTAAAGATAAGACAGGATCATCGGATTATCCTTTTGGTCAGAATCTCATCTACTCATCTTAAGGAATACATTTTTATTTCTGGCTTTTATTAAAAGATCATCCTAAGCCACTAAGATTAATTAGCAGCTGGAATCTGATCACTAACTTATTCTGCCTTCACTGACCGATCCAAAACATCCCTAGGTAGTTAAATAGGATCAGTGATATATGACCAGTAGTTTGCTTTAACACAGGTGTTGCAATACACCAGTAACTGGAGACTGGACATAAGTATAAAAGGGTGAACTTTTGTGAACTTTATCCTGTTGTTTGATTTGTGATCACTAACTTATTCTGCCTTTCACTGACCGATCCAAAACATCCCTAGGTAGTTAAATAGGATCAGTGATATATGACCAGTAGTTTGCTTTAACACAGGTGTGGCAATACACCAGTAACTGGAGACTGGACATAAGTATAAAAGTGTAACGTGTGTCCAGCCGAGCGGTCTAAATATTCAAGTGGACACGTACCCGGTTACACCCGGAATTTCTGCAGTGCAATAACCTAAATAAATGATCTGTATCTGGTCCACTAGGACACAAACTTAATCAATATATTTACGATGATTATTTAAACAATTTACTCAATCAATATATTTACTATGATTCGCATAACTAATCTTAAAGAAATCAAGGGACAATTTGACTCTGGACCACCTGTCCTACACTAAACCAATGTCCCCGGACAACTGGCCCAACCAAGGGCCCTGGTTACGAACAAGAGGTCTCTAGTCAACTGGCGTCTCCAGCTCACTTTGGCACTAGAGTACAGACTTATTCAGCCTTTATTTCCAATGCTAAAGCTACGGTGGTCGACCAGTTGATGCAACCTATACTATAAGGCTTATTCAGCCCTGTAGTAACCTTTATTGCGATTCTGCTAATTCAACGTCCTCACTTATTTCTTTACCCTTACCTGGTAACTACTCTGCAGCTACAGCGAACAAACTCGCAAACAGACTCCAAGGAGACTTCAAATAGACTGACTGAAGCTGCCAACACCCGCTATATATATAGTATTGGACTAGTCTATTTCATGGTAGGGGAGACAGGTTATTCCATGTCCAAAAAAAACCTTAACTACCCTATTAACATAGATTGGTACAACCCTGATTCATCACATCACCCACCCCTTTAAGTCATACGTCCCGTATGAAAACAACAACAATTTAAAGTATTAAATATTTATGATGTTTTGCTTCTTTAAATGAACAGAATATCTTTCTGAATGTCAAAATGATTTTTTTTTTTTTACAGCAATTTCTTCTTTTCAATCTTCTTGATTCGTCTTCCCTCTTCGACCCATTTGGTGATTATTTTTACGCTTTCCGTGAAATACACTGGATCAGTCTGACACTCTTTGTGTTCACATGGTTGTTTCTCAGGTGCTGGATTAGAAGGTCTGTTATCTATTAAGGGTGCAACCCTAGCGGGAGCGAAAACTGGTAAAGGTCGAGTGGGTTTCCGGTAGAGTCTACCTTCTTCTCTCTTTGATTCATCACTACACGGGAGTTCCTTCCCACTCTTCTCTTTACTGACTTCATCCTCACTCTCACTTTCACTTATATCCCCTAGAAGCACCGCTCGAAGATCTCCAGGATCCTGTGTGACCCACGATTCAGCATCCGAGACGCAACTTTCACTGGGGCCTTCCTTTTGAAGTACTGAATCTACCTCACCGCAAGTTTCTTCACCAATGTCATGTTGTCTCTTGAGATGCCTTCTCAAATTTTTGGAGGTGGTGGAATTGAAATCACAAAAATTGCAGAACAACAGTTCCTTACTGCATTCGCCAATGTGCTTTGACAATTCTTCATCTTTCATGAAACGGTAAGGACAGAATGGGCACTTCCTGCCTTTGTTGACAGTTATCTTTGTCTTTGGCATTGTAATCTATGAAAGACAAAATATAAACAAAACGTTAAACTATCTGTTTAAAATATCAAAACTCGACACTAACTATATATATTTCTAACACATTATTTAATCTCTGACATAGTCTGACATCCATTTTGGTGGACGTCTTCTCCTTCTTGTGGGATCTGGCGACCACATATCATTTTGATCGTCTGACTCTATCATTGTTGATGACCAAGTATCCCCCACCTGATCACCTGTATCCCCTATGTCATCTTTTTCATCAGAGACTTTATTCTCATCTTCTAGACGTCTCTGATCACCTAGTTTATCAACTTCACTGGAACTTGATTCTCCCCTCAGTAACTGGGGATGTCTTATTCTAATTCTATCTACGTGGACAACTTGCTCTCTACCTTTTGGCCCACAGTTAACCTTGTAGGTCAGATCAGAGCATTTTCCTAAGATTGTATATGGACCATGCCAATATGAGGTCAATTTCGCTGACCTACCTATTTTGCGAACCGGAAAGTACACAAGAACACTATCACCAGGGTCAAATTTTTCATAGCTAAGCTTCCGGTCATGATATGTCTTTTGTCGACACATAGCTTGCTTAGTATTTTCTCGTACTACCCTGTGAGCTTCTTCTAAGCGTTCCTGTAATTCCCAAACCCACTGGTTTCTAGGAGTAACTTTTACCTCTCCTGGCAATTCGTACATGAGATCTAGGGGTGTAGATGTCTCTCTACCTAACATTAAAAAGTTGGGTGTATAGCCTGTAGTTTCGTGAACTGCAGAAGGATAGGCCTGCATAACATATGGGAGAGATTCATCCCAGTTAGTCTGGTGCTCGTTCACATATGCACTAAGCATGGTTGCAAGGGTTTTATTAAAACGTTCAACCATCCCATCACTTTGTGGGTGATAGGGAGTTGTTCTAGTCTTTTCAATATGAAGTAAGGCACAGAGCTCTTGAAACAAAAGACTTTCATATTGCCTGCCCTGGTCCGAATGAAGTATTCTAGGCACTCCGAATTTAGCAAAGACCTCCTCTACCAATATACGAGCAACCGTTTGTGCTTCCATGTTGGGCATGGCAAAACTCTCGGTCCACTTGGTAAAGTAGTCAGCAACTACCAAAATATATCGGTTACCTCTCTCCGTCTTTGGCAATTCTCCTAGAATATCCGTGGCCACTCTCTCCATAGGGATTCCAGATTCCACTACCTTCATGGGAGCTTTCTTTGTAATATTCGGACTTTTTCTCTTTGAACATTTTTCACATCCTGCAACGTATGCTCTTACATCCTTTCGGCTACCTGGCCAATAGTACTTACTTCGCACTCTTTCGAGTGTCTTCTTGTGACCCAGGTGTCCAGCCCCTTTAAAGTCATGACAGAAATATAGTACCTTGCGCCTCTCGCTCCATGGTATTATAGCTTGTAAGATAGGACTTCCCTTTCCAGTAATCCACTTTCTGCACAGCAACCCATCTTTTACCAATAACAAATCCCATTGTCCTACAATATCTCGAACATAAATACTTTTCCCTGCTAGTTCTTCGGATTTTGGTTTTGTCCCATCTTTTAACCATTTGACAATCAGTGCAACATCTTCATCGTTTTCTTGAATACTTTTAAGGGACAAATCGCCTGACAATTTGGCATCATCCTCATTGTTCTTAATTGCATGTAGGGACCTTGATTCCTCTTCTTGATCCCAAGCAGTAAAGAAACCACATTGTTTGCAAGGTATTCTACTAAGGGCGTCAGCATTTTGATGTTGCGCTCCTGGGCGGTGTTCAATCAACATATCATATGTACTCAATACTTCTAGCCATCTTGCTAGTTGGCCCTCTGGGTTCTTGAATCTCAATAACCACTTTAGTGAACTATGGTCCGTTCTAATACGAAATTTTCGTCCCTGAAGGAAATGTCTGAAAACTTTAACAAAATGAACAACTGCAAGTAGCTCCTTCCTAGTGACGCAGTAGCTTCGTTCACTCTTGGACAAGGTACGACTGGCATAGGCAATAACTTTCTCATGACCCTCTTGTTCCTGAGAAAGTATAGCCCCAATAGCATCTCTGCTAGCATCTGTGTCCAGTATAAACTCTTTAGTGAAGTCGGGGTGTCCTAATACTGGGGTAGTTATAAGCTTTTGTTTCAACAGATCAAAAGCAATCTGGCAATCATCATTCCAGACAAATGGTCTCCCTTTTTCAGTCAACTTATGTAGACACTTGGCAATCGTTGCAAAGTCCTTTATAAACTTCCTATAGTATCCACACAGTCCAAGGAAAAACCTGACCTCGGTTGCATTTGTTGGTACTGGCCAGTGTTTCACACTTTCTATCTTTTCAGGATCTGTCATTATACCTTCTTCAGAAATAATGTGGCCTAAGAATTTCACAGATCTGTGGAACAAATGGCATTTCTTGGCCTTTAATCGCAACCCAGCTGATTGAAGTCTGTCAAACACTCTCTCTAAATTAGCCATCATTTCATTGAATGTTTTACCCATGATGATTATATCATCAAGGTAAACCAGGCAAACCTCCCATTGTAATCCTGCCAATACCATTTCCATTAATCTTTCGAACGTGGCAGGTGCACAACAAAGCCCGAAAGGCATCACTCGAAACTGAAACAAACCCCTTCGTGTGGCGAAAGCCGTTTTATGTTTGTCCTTGGGATCAAGTTCCACCTGCCAATATCCGGAAAACATATCTAAGGTGGAAAACCAGCTGTATCCAGACAATTGTTCTAAGGATTCATCAATCCTGGGCAAAGGATATGCGTCCTTAACTGTGCAAGCATTAAGACGCCTGTAATCTACACAAAATCGATAGGAATTATCCTTCTTTTTCACCAGTACAATAGGTGATGCCCAGGGACTTGTCGAAGGTTCTATAATATTGCAGTCTAGCATCTCATCAATATTTCTTTCTATTTCTTTTGCCAAGTGTGCAGGAGAACGGCGAACAGGTTGTTTTATAGGTCTCGCGTCTCCAGTGTCAATCTTGTGTTTGACTATATTAGTTTTTCCAAGATCATTATTACTCTTGGCAAACAATGATTTGTACTTCCAAAGAAAAGATTTTACTTCCTTAGCTTGTTTCTTTGTTAGATGCATCACCGAGTCATTATACAAGTTTTCTATGTCAGGCCGCTCTGCTGGTTCACTGGCATAATTTGAAGTAACTTGTTCCGTTTCCTGAAATTGCCCAATCTCTGTGTTCTTGTACACCACCTTTGGTTCAGACTCCACGTTCAACAACCTCACTGGCACAATATTATTCTTCATTGGTTGAACACAAGTTCTAGCAGTCAATGGCCTATTAGTATCTTCTTTTTCTTTAGGTTCTACAATGCCCTGTGTTTGTAGTTGCTCCTCGTCAAGAGTACAAATTTTCCCTGGTATAATAAGTTCACTCCGGGGTGGTATACTGACCGTTTCTTCTGCTGCAACTCTAAAGCATCCAAATTTACCTTCATACATCATAGGAATACTTTCGTCCTCAAATAACAAAACATGTCGTTTCGCATCTATGACCATATCAAAACGTTTGATCATGTCTAATCCAAGAATACCCTCTACCTGAAGATTAGCTACCAAAGCTAATGTCTTTATGGGATGTCTTCCAATTGCCATCTCAATATTGACTTTACCTTCCAACTTTAATTCATCACCATCTGCAGTGTAAACTTTCATTCCAGGTTCTTGGATTTCAAATGCCCAATGGTCTTTCACTTTGTCGAATAAAGTTGTTGACAGCATCGTAACCGTAGCCCCTGTGTCTACTAACATTTTCACCCTAACACCATTTATCATTACATAAATGAACATTCCAGCTTCGTTTGAGCAAGAGCCAAGCTTGCCAGTTAACTGTCCATTTGAACCCTTATCACTATATTTCCTTCCGGTATCGCTTCCCCCTGAAGTCTTCTTGCTACCGGAAGTGTCTCTCTTATTTTTCTCTGGACAATTTCTCTTATAATGTCCCTTTTTATGACAACCATAACATTCTATCATATCCATGCTTTTTCTGGATAGAGATGACTCTTTGTAAGACTTTTTGTCCAAATGGCCTCTGCCTTGTCTGAGCTCTTTAATTTCCTTATTTATGGCTGCCATATTCTTTTCCATTGATGACATCCAATTTTTCATTTCCATTTTGAAAGTCCCGTCATTAGTAGTTACCTCTTCCCTCAACTGGTGTTGATAACCTTTGTACCCCCTCTTGTCTTCTGCCCTTAGATATGCCTCTAGTTCTACCGCATGTTTAATGGCATCATTTAAATCCTTAGGACGCGCCTGCTTAATCCTTATTCGCATGTCCGAGTCAGGCAAGCCATCTAAAAATTGTTCCATGGCCAAGGTTTCCCTTACCTCAGATGGGGCTTTTGGATAGGCCAAATTTGCCAATCTTCTGACAGCCTGTCCTAACTCAGGTATGGTCTCTGTTGTTCTCTTACGCCTCTCCCTTAGCTGAACTCTGTATAACTCGGTTTGATTGGGTGGCGCAAAGCGTTCTTCAAGGGCCTGTACAAGGTAATGATAATCAGTGTTGTCTCCTGGCAAGTTTCCAAGGACTGCTTGAGCCTGACCCCGAAGAGATGCTGCGAGAAATAAGCCTTTCTCCTCTTCTGTCCACTCATTAAGTTTGCTGACTGTGTTAAAATGAGTCTTATAATCCAACCACGATCCACTGCCATCGTAGGTTGCGGCTTTTACTTCCCTTCTACTCATTTTCTTAGTTGCATTACCTGATACAACTGGTCTTCGGTGACGCCTGTCTGTGATATTACCAATATCTACTCTATCTGCTATAGCATTTCTGTTGGTTTCATCATTTCTAGATTCCATTTCCTCATGAAACCTTACCCTTGGATGACAGCTAGTACTCGGTCTATTTGACTCAACATCCGGAGAATGATCGGCCAAAGAACTCCTGGGAATAACTGACGATGGACCACTGGAAATACCAGAGTCATATCTACCCCGGGCCTCATATCCTCGAGGCC